GGAGGAGGATTGGCGGGAAGGAAAAGGCCACTAAAAAAAGGTTAAAAAAATGACAGCCTTTTGCTTGGGCTTTCCACTAGGGTGGAATGGGAGGGTGTACGGAGCCTCTCTCCCTGCGTTCTTACACGTCTGGGTGAGGAGGCTATGGAACATGGTGGGGCGGGGGACGGGGGTTATACAGGGGCTGTAGCGGCACTCTGTGCTCCTGCTGCCGTTCCTGAAGCTCCACCAGATGCCGGAGCATGTCTGTTTGCTCACGCAGCAGCCCCAGCCTTGCATCCTGCCTCCTCTGATCTTCCTGCCGCCACCTCTCATCTCGAGCGTCTCTCCTCTCCTCTCCTCACATTCACTGGCTTCTTTCCTATACTTTGAAACCATGTCCTTCCACTCATTCAGATGAGCTCTTTCACTGCGGGTGGATTCCATGATTTCTGCGAACATCTTGTCTCATGTCTTCTTTTTCTGACGCCTTATCTGAGATAGCCTTCAGGACGAAGGAGGGAGGCTTGAAAAATTTGCAGCTGCTGGAGGGAGGGGAAAAAAGGAGAGAATTTTTTAAAAAGATACATTTTGCAGAACAATGCTTATACTCTTTCACGGTGACCAACACTATTCACATTACATAGCACATGTGATTTCAGTACAAGGTCGCATTTTGCCTCTTTAATATTGAGTGCCTGTGGCTTTGCTGCTAGAGATCACAGACGCAGGTCCGGGCAACAGAATTCGGCTTGCATGCGGCCATGGTAAGCCATTGTCTTTCGGCTTCTGCGCCCTCCTTTCCCACATACCAAGCAAAGCCCATTGAGTGCTGCGGTTTTCCTGTTAACCTTCAGCAGCAGAAAACAAACTAACGCCCCCCCATCCAATTCTCTGGATGATCGCTTTATCCCTCCCCCCACCGCGTGGCTGGTATCAGGGAAGATCCCTGCAGGAACCAAACTAACACCCCCCACCCCGCCATGAATTCTCTGTGATGATCACTTTACCCCTCCTCCCACCGCGTGGCTGGTATCAGGGAAGATACCTGCTAGCCAAACGCGAAAAGCTCTGGGCCAATTCTCCCCCCCCACCCCCCCGCGCTTGGCTAACTGCAGGGAAGGGATTTCTTTTCAGCCACAGGCAAACAGCCCAGTAGGAATGGCCACCTCTGTCCCCTTAATTAAATTCCTGTATTTCAACCAGGTTACCATGAGCGATATCACTCTCCTGAGGATTACACAGCGAGATAAAGAACGGCTGTTGCTTGAATGCCAGCAAACACCGGGACCATACGCTGCCAGGCTTTGTCATGCAATGATACCAGATTACTTGCTGCAAGCATGGCGTGGTCAAGTGTCCTACCATGGAGGATGGAATAAGGCTGCACTGCCCAGAAACCTTGTGGCAAGGCTTTTGGAGTACCTCCAGGAGAGCTTCATGGAGATGTCCCTAGAAGATTTCCACTCCATCCCCAGACACGTTAACAGACTTTTCCAGTAGCTGTACTGGCCGCGAATGCATCCCAAGTCCTCAGGGCACAGTAATCATTAAAAAACGCTTGCTTTTAAAACAAGTTTTATATTTTAAAAGGTAAACTCACCTGAGGTCCCTTCCATGGGGTCATGGTCTTGGATACTGGCTTGGGAGGGTACTTCAGTCAGGCTGAGAAAAAGATCCTGGCTGTTGGAGAGAATGGAGTGCTGGGTGCTCTCTGCAAGCTTGTCGTCCTCCTCCTCCTCCCCTTCCTCGTCCGCAGAATCCTCAGGTGTAGCTGATGAGATTATCCCCGCCTCGGAATCCACGGTCAGAGGTGGGGTAGTGGTGGCGGCCCCCCCTAGAACTGCATGCAGCTCGGCGTAGAAGCGGCATGTCCGTGGCTCTGACCCGGAGCGACCGTTTGCCTCCTTTGTTTTTTGATAGGCTTGTCTGAGCTCCTTGACTTTCACGCGGCACTGATCCAAGTCCCTATTGTGGCCTCTCTCCATCATGCCCTTGGAGATTTTTTCAAAAGTTTTGGCATTTCATCTTTTCGAACGAAGTTCTGCTAGCACTGAATCCTCTCCCCATATAGCGATCAGATCCAGTACCTCCCGTACGGTCCATGCTGGTGGTCTTTTTTGATTATCGGCCTGCATGGTTACCTCTGCTGATGAGCTATCTGTGGTCACCTGTGCTCTCCACGCTGGGCAAAGAGGAAATAAAATTCAAATGTTCGCGGGGCATTTCCTGTCTACCTGGCCAGTGCATCTGAGTTCAGATTGCTGTCCAGAGCGGTCACAATGGTGCACTGTGGGATAGCTCCCGGAGGCCAATACCATCGAATTGCGGCCACACTAACTCTAATTCGAAATGACAATATTGATTTTGGCGCTACTCCGCTCGTCAGGGTGGAGTACAGAAATCGATTTTAAGAGCCCTTTATTTCGAAATAAATGGCTTCGTTGTGTGGACGGGTGCAGGGTTAATTCGATTTAATGCTGCTAAATCCAAATTAAAGTGATAGTGTAGACCAGGCCTAACAAATTTATTTCAGCATAAGCTTTCGTGGGCTACAGCTCACTTCTTCTGATGCATAGAATGGAACACAGACTGGGAATGGTTTGGTCATTACACTAATTGAATCTTTTTCCCCATGTTAAGTTCTCCTCACACCTTCTATGGGTCATCTCGATTATCACTTCAACGTTTTTTTTTCTTCTGCTGCTGATCGCTCATCTCAATTGATTGGCCTCTTACAGTTGGTATGCATACTTCCACCTTTTCATGTTCTCTGTATGTATAAATATCTTCTGTCTGTGTGTTCCATTCTATGCATCCGAAGAAGTGAGCTGTAGCCCACGAAAGCTTATGCTGAAATAAATTTGTTAGTCTCTAAGGTGCCACAAGTACTCCTGTTCTTTTTGTCTAAAGCAATTTCTCACCTAAAGCAACCTCACAGCATCACTAGTCCACATGGCCAGGATCCAATTTTCATGAATGTGAAAAGCGATGTCTTTTTTGCTCCCTCAGTGAAGGATCGGAAAGGGGGCCTTTTTCCTTCCCCATGTAGTCCAGTAAATCTTTGACATGTCCCTTTTGAAGTGCATCCCCAGATAAGACTCTTCTCCCCATTGCTTGTTCTCCAGTGTGCTCCGCACCCAATTGGTTTCACATCCCCCAATCAACCTATTTTTCCTGTTAGCTCTACATGCAAATGGGGCTTCCATTGTTTTACAATGCTTAATTATATCAGAGACAGGGATAGGTGAAGAGACATGCTCTGTCTGGCAGAAGACCTGTTTGTTTATTTCTGTCAAAATATAATGCAATTTTTTTGTAGAACCTAATCACAATTTTTTGTAGTTTTATTTTTTCCATTCCTGCAAAAAAGCATATTTGAAAACTGCAGTTTTACAAGGCTTCTGCCCTTACTGCAGGGGTAGGCAACCTATGGCACGCGTGCCAAAGGCGGCATGCAAACTGATTTTCAGTGGTACTCACACTGCCCGGGTCCTGGCCACCGGTCCGGGGGGCTCTGCATTTTAATTTAATTTTAAATGAAACTTCTTAAATATTTTAAAAACCTTATTTACTTTACATACAACAATAGTTTAGTTATATATTATACACTTATAGAAAGAGGTATTACTGGCCACCGAACCCTTAAATTAGAGTGATTAAATGAAGACTCGGCACACCACTTCTGAAAGGTTGCCGACCCCTGCCTTAGTGTATATCAGGGCCTTTTGCTATGTAAAAAATCAATACATTTAACACACATTAAATCTCAGTTACTCATTTTTCAATGGCAGCTCCTTTAAATAACTAATCACTACACCCCGAGCATGAACAATTCCATTAAGCTGCAGTAACATGATGTCATGTCAGATAGTTATTCCGTATGAGAATAGTTAGACAGTTGCATTGATCTGTCATTTTGTGAATACATGTGCTTTCTATATTGTTAATCTGATTTTAATTTACCTTTATTTTTCTTTTATCAAGGGTTCTGCTATCGGTTACCCAGTGGAACAATGTACTAGCCATTCACCCCTGAATACTTTTGGCCATCTGAATTCACTGAAATCAAAAGACAAAATTATTCATTGTAATCTCTATGTATGCATATGCCCAAATCATTGCACAGTTTACAGTCTAATTTTAGACAGCTGATCTAATTCTGAGTAACTCATTTACTAGCAGTCTCCAACCTAGAGAGGGCCACTAACCTGGTGTGTGACCTTGGGGAAGTCACTCTTTTGTGCCTCTTTCCCTTCCCACTCTTTGCCTGTCTACACTGTAAGCTCTTTTGTGCAGGCACTGTCTCTTGCTAGGGCTCAGATCCTCAAAGGTATTTAGGCACCTAACTCCCACTGAGATCAAAGTACAATGGAACCCAAATCTTGGCTGGGGCCCAAATCTTGGTTGGGGCCTTTAGGTTCTACTGGAATACATATAATACATAATAATGATGATGTTAATAACCCTGTACTGATGCTGAGCATTGACGTAGCTGTATAAGCACATTGAACATCTCACTCTCTATAGCTGTTGGCCTTTCACTGTGATAAGCATTGAACTCAATTCCTAAAGTAAACAAATTTTACAAAACTATTTACAGAAATATATTAAATACAAAATGTTAAAATGACTGCAGGGTTCATACCTAATCTAACAAGAACAGGACTATTCATTGTCAATTATCTGTTGCCAAATATTGAAGCACATATGTAAAGCTATGGACCTGATTCTCCTCTCACTTACACTGTTTTTACACCATTGTAAATCTGCATTGACTTCAATGGAGTTACACTTAATTTACATCAGTGTGAGTGAGAAGAGGATCAATCAGTGCATCATCTAGAAATTTGCACAAATGATGTGAGTTAATGATTCAAAGTGAGATATCTTTTGACATCTTAAGATCCCAATCCTGCAGTGCCCTTTTCTGTATTTCTGTTGTATGATTAGGATGCATGGTATTTGCTAGAGATAAATAATGAGATGGGGGACTTACTATACTTTTCTTTTCTTTTCAGCTATACCCATAGAAACTGCCAAACAAAATCCAAATGTTGCTTTGGTTCTTACTTCTTGTGGAGGCCACATTGGTTTTCTAGAAGGAATGTGGCCAAGGAAGTGTACTTACATGGACAGAGTCTTCAAGCAGTTTGTGCAGGCTGTGTTTGAGCATGAAAACCAAATCTGCAGCATGTAGCTCTTCTGAGGCATCTTGTCCAGACCATTGTTTCAGCACAGTGGCATGATCTGACAAGAGAAGCTCAGCCTAATGCACAAATTTTAATTACTGTGTATACAGCAAACAAGCCAGCCATTGGATGAAATCCATTACTATGTGCAAAAAATACCTTTTGCCTAAAATTTTGTAGCAAGAAATAAATATTACGTTGGCACTTTTGTAGTTTTTTAATATGCCTTATCAAGAATGACCTTAAATAAAACAGCACTCTAAATATATCAAATTGCACTTAACCAAAACCATTAAGCCAACAGGTTATAATTCCTCAGGGGTTTAATTTAAGACAGTTCATTTTTAGGAGACTCAATTAAGATGACTTGTAATATAACAGTTTTAGTAACTAACTCTCAAAATTACGTTTATTATATTTTAAAGCATGTTACAAGTTGATCCATTTCTAAGGGCATTGATGAGAAAAATATTTAAATATGAAAATAGAAGGAACATAAAACAGGACTGATTCATCAAAGTAATCTTTAGGTTTAAGCATGGACTGCAGCACTATTAGACTGATAATTTCATTTGCTGTTTTACTCTTTGAAAATATTCAGATTTAGGGCTGTTTTTTATTATTAATTAATTATTAGTATTATTATTTATTTATAATGCCAATACCATATTTGTCTTATATGTTTATTTTTAACATTGTTAGCTAATTTGTAGTATTTATATATTACCAAAGGTTCTGTTGAAATATAGTACTGTAATAAACTATGTAATTTTAAACCAACACACTTTGTACTTCCTAATTTATGTAATCTTGTGCAGTGTTATTTATGTAATACATATTCCATATAAAGGTGGCAAATAACAAATTGCATAATTCTATAATTTAAGTTTATATTACCCTACAAGAACATATGAGTTTTAAAAAATATACATTAGAAAGTCAGGAGATTATGTCACTGTCAACTTTAAAACCACATTTCCATCTGAACAATTTGTCTCTGCTATTGTCCCAAGTAATACCTAAAACGAGTAACTGAAAGAGATGGTGGGGGGAGGGAAATCTATTTTTTTAAGTTTTCTTGCTTTGTGCATGTGACAGCACTTTGTATATAGGCAGTTTCTTTGTTTTGTTGATGCTCTGACAAATACTTGGAGCTACAATGGTCCTCCTGCGCAGCTTTTCTGGCACAAGGGCTGTAAAGCTGGCTTCACCACCTGCCTGAACAGGCATCGGAAAAGAGAGCACAAGGCGAAGGATACACCTGAGCATGTTTGGCTGCATTGCTGTTAGCTTGCTCCAAAGAGCCTTCTACATCTCATCTAGTAAGCAAATATATAAAATAAATTTCAGGACATGCTATAAAAAGGGTGCTCTGACAGAAAATTGAAATTAGTCAATTAAAAAAAATTGAAGTGTCTTTTTAAGGTTGAACTTTTTAAACAAGGCATTGAATCTCAACCAAATAACAGATATCACCTTAACTCTGCCCTTGTAGAGCCAACACAAGAAAAATCAAATGTAAAAGCCAAATGAAACTGAACATGTTAATACATGAATGATTTTTAGAAGCCTTATGTGTGCTCATATCGATTTTCAGAACACAAGGTTTGTGCACATACAAGCATGTCACTTAACCAATAAATAAATTATGGAATCAATGCTCTTCATGTTATATTTGCATAACTGTGTTGTTCATAGCTCTGTGTTAAACCTCTTTAAAAGACATTTACTAAGGAAATGTCTTATAGTGCAACTGTAAATCACATAATCAATGGCAGATTTATTATCCTTCCTTTCTTTGCCTCATATCACTTAGGCCCTGATCCTGTCGTTGTTTGAAATCAATGTGACAACTCACATGTTTAAAGCTGAGCATGTAAGCATGTGCAGGAATTAAACCTTAACCTAAATATATCTACATTGACACATTTCCTGAAGATCCTTCTGTACCTTTATAAATACTGAACTTTTGTGCAGTCACTTCTTTTTCATTAGGATAATGAAATTAACTGGAGCAGACTAGTGGCAACCAGCTTTAACAACCTGATCTGTATCACTATCCTGAACCTTTCCCAAAGCAACATGGCATGAGAATGGCTATAGCAGCACTGATGGATGATGTGGTTATGAATAGAAGCCTAATATCAGCACTTAACCGCTCTGTAGCTTTCCATATAATCAGTTAAAAAGTGCCACTGACCTGGGTAACACTTCCACAAGCTACCCAAGACACTGACCTCTGGTATCTGCCCTCCACTCATCAAAGCAGTATGAATTTTCAGGGTCTTGTGTGATTTTTCACTAAATTTAGATTGAAATAGTGGTGAGACATCTTGGAGGTACAGGTTTGCCAGGGATCTATTCTCTTTCTCCTTCATCAAGGACCTAAACATGATTCATGGATTTATCACCTACAAATTAGATTGTGATAAATCTATGTGGGATTGATTGTAGGGCAACTTGGAAATTCCTGATTGTATGCCTTGCAACCTCCTAAACAAAACAATCCTCTCAAACACATCACACAAGTGAGCTGCAACTTCTACTGGTTTCTAGGATCAATGCAAATTTCTATTTTTAACATCTATAAGGTCATTGCTAACTCAGAGACCATTCTCTGGTCTAGATAATACTTTCTCCTGCCATGAGTGTAGGGGACTGGCCTAGATGACCTCTTGAGGTCCCTTCCAATCCTACAATTCTATGATTCATGACCCATCCTGTCTCAGTGAAGGACAACATAATGAGCTTAAGCCTAGCCATCTTAAGAGCATAATGCAAAGCTCACTTCTGAGCCAAAGCAGTCCGACACTAACTGAATATGTAGAATGAATAACAAACCAAAAACCAATAAACAAACAAAAATAGCAAAGCACAGAATCCAGCCCAGGATGTACAAACTTTACACCAAGCCAGGGCATGAAGGGATTAATGACCTTTCCTGAAGCAGAGACTTAAACTGGCCCTGCACCCCCAACACCAGCAAGTAGGGTCAAGCCTAGAGCTATAGCTATAGCTAATAATCAGGAGGGAACAGGAGATAAAAGAGGAGACTACATATCCTTAGAGGGGGTTGGAGTTATGAAGCTGGTACTGTGAGTGAGAGACTCAGCCACAGGGAGAGCTCCTTGAGGAAAGCAGAGATCTACATATGAATTATATTGTTTGTTAATTCTTTTGCTTTTTTGAGTGAAGCGGGGCTTTCCCCCCACCCTTTTTGGCTCAGCTGTGGCCAGTGGCACTCTACCACTGCGACAGCTACCTGCACAAATCGATATACAGGTAAAGTGACATATACCGTAACTCTTCATAGTATTCCTGCTCTAAATCAGCACACATCTCTGTGTTAACTTCCTGAACACCATGTAGTCTTGAATACGAACAAGACCTGCAAATTGAACTGAAAAACAGATCATCCGAATGCTGTTGCCTTACATACAAAGTTGCAAATTTGTTAATATTTTTTCCAATAAGTGTTTTTGTGATAAATGAAGTGGGGGGGGGGTAGCTTCCTTTTATGGACACCCAACCAGCCAGTTAGCTGTAAAATCCCTCTTGGTAGCTATTCTTTGCTTGTTTTACCTGTAAAGGATTAAAAGTCCCCCAGGTAAAGAAAAGGAAGTGGGCACTTGACCAAAAGAGCCAATGGGAAGGTAGAACTTTTTAAAATTGGGAAAGAAACTTTCCCTATGTTTGTTGTTCTATCTGGGCTGCAGGGACACAGAGCAGCAATGCTGTAAGCAGCTTTAAGCCAGGTATGATTATAGATTATCAATTCATACCTTGAATCTACTTATCTGAAGCCTCAGATATGTAAGTAAAATTAGGGAATGTCTAAAAAGACACAATTACAATTATTTCTTTTATTTCTTATTGGCTTGTGGACTCCTCTGTGCTAACCCCATATGCTTTTGTTTGCTTGTAACCTTTAAGCTGAATACCCAAAAAAGCTATTTTGGGTGCTTGGTTTTTGGAATTGCTCGTTTAAAATCCAGCAAAAGCCTAAGTTCCAGATGTATTTTCTTTCTTTTTGTTTTTAATAAAATGTACCATTTTAAAGAACAGGATTGGATTTTTGGTGTCCTAAGAGGTTTGTGCATGTTGTTTAATTAGCTGGTGGCAACAGCTAATTTCCTTTGTTTTCTTTCTCAACTCTTCCCTGGAGGGGTGTGTCTGAAAGGGCTTGAGGTTACCCCACAGAGAGGAATTCCCAAATGCTCCTTCCTGTGTTCAAGGGTTGAGGGGGTTTTGCATTTGGGTGGTGGCAGCGTTTACCAAGCCAAGGTCAGAGAAAAGTTGTAACCTTGGGAGTGTAATACAAGCCAGGAGTAGCAAGTATTAATTTTTAAAATCCTTGAGGGTTTCCACCTTTTTGAAATGCCAGAGTAGGGATTCAGCCTTGACAGCTTTATTCAAACTTTTGGATTTAATATATGACAGCAATGGCACATTCTTTAGGGTTTCCCATCATATGGTAAAAAAGTTTGTTATCTTACATTCACCCAGATGATGTTACCATCTCTGCATACTTCATGTTAACAATAAAAAGAAGGGAAAATGTATCTGCAAATTTACATTCTTAACATGAAGTATGCAGAGATGCTTCTAACATTTTCCAGGAGGCTTACAAGCTCCCAAATGATTACAGTATCCTGCTTCTGGAAGCTATCTTGTAGGTTATTGTAACAAAGAAACAGAGCACATGTTGGTACATTAGTTGTAAAGTCATACTGGATTATGGTGAGTTAAAGGAGAACCTCTATAGGGAGTTATAAATAACATTTCCTGCTATCAGCTATTTTACAAAACTGCAGCTACTGAAAATTTCCATCAGTCCAGGACAAATTGTGCTTCACTGAAGTGTGCATAGAAAGAGGATCTGACAAAATAAGGTAGATTCTTTATTTCAGTGTCACTAAATGACAAATTAGGATTTAGAAGCAGAGTAAAACATCACTATACTGCTAACTCTATTCAGCAATTTTCTTCCCAAACAGTATATTGTACAAATATGAGGGCTGAGGAATATAGAGAAACTATAGAATACCCTGAGTTTGAAATATTATAGAAAGCTATTTATTAGAGGGGATTAAACAAGTTAATTAAAGCATTCTCAAAATGCCCACTTTAAAAAATATTACTAATAAACTGACAGATTTATATGGAAATTCTCAGAAATTCCATTCTATACTCCGAGAGTAAGTGCTGAAAGTTTGGGAAAGATACATGAAATCACTAGTTTAGTCTCCATTAGTGTCCAAAACAAGATACTTCAACAGAAGATGGCAGAAAGTTTCTCTCTCCTAACTTTTTCATTTCCTTCTATGTAGGTTGTAGATGTTCGCATTATATATTTATACAGATAATCTTTATTTTATCCAAGTAAACTCTTGACCTTAGTGATATCACATTTATGAGCTCCAGATGTTAATCACGTGCTGTATGTATATTAAAAAAATAGTTTCCTTTGATTCGTTTTCTTCTTATTATTACTTTGCTGATAGAAAATTTGCTGAACAGCAATGACAAACTGGAATAGTAATTTGGGAATAATTTACATGTCCTATGTAGTACATATAATTGAAATAAATATAATCTAATTGTGTGCATATTGTCCCTTTTCCTCCCTACCCACCTTTTTCAACTGTCTTTAGATTATGAATTCCTTGGGGAATTCA